ATTTGTAGGCCATTCATGCTCCCATGTTTTACAGGCCATAAATATTTCATCACTTTTCATAGACGATTTCTCACGATACAATTGTTTGTATCTCTTGTTTTGTAAGGACCAAGCCTTAGATGCTTTCAAGATTTTTAAAATAGAGGTAGAGCTACAACTTGATAAAAAGATCAAAATCGTGAGGGCAAATAGGAGTGGTGAGTATTATGGTAGGTATACTGAGTCCGGACAACACTTAGATCCATTTGCTCGATTCTTTCAGGAACAAGGTATAGTGACACAATATACTATGTCAAGTACTCCTGGTCAAAATGGAGTAACAGAAAGGCGGAATCGAACACTAATGGATATGTTTAAGAGTAGGATTAGTTACTCCACTCTCCCAATCTCTTTTTGGGATGATGCCTTGAAAATCGTTGTGTACATTCTAAACAAGGTTCCTACTAAGGCTATCCCTAAAACACCTTTTGAGTTATGTACATGTAGAAAACCCAGTTTAGCACATCTACACATCTGGGGTTACCAAACTGAGACTTGGGTGTATAACCCCAAGAGAAAAACTTGGACCCTAGAATCATAAGTGGCTATTTTATTGGTTATCCAAAGAAGTCCAAGGAATACCGATTCTATTGTCCTAATCAATCTCTCCGGATTGTAGAGACACGTAATACAAAATTTCTTGAAAATGACCAAATCAATGAGAGTATACAACCTCAAAATATTATTGTTGAGGAACAACCAATTTTTATGCAAAGTTCAGATGAGTTGGTTATGATTCCTCATCCTACTATTCATAATAACTCGATGGAGGATGAGTTAACTATTAATGTACCATTTATAACTAAACTCACTGTCACTGAGAATCTTGTTTCACCTTCATGTGTAGCGGACAAGAAGAAACTTTAAGGAGGTCATCAAGGATTATGAAATCAGCAATTCCATCAGATTATATTGTGTACCTTCAAGAGTCCAATTTTGATATTGAAAAGTGTGATGATCCAACTACTTTCTTACAAGCCATGAATAATTTGAATTCCTCCAACTGGTATGATGCCATGAAAGAAGAGTTGAACTTAATGGATAAAAACAATATTTGGAATTTAGTTGAACTACCTCCTGGTGCCATAGTAGTCAGCTGTAAATGGGTCTATTGGACCAAAAGAGACTGTAAATGAAAGGTACGATATTTTCTTGCTAGTACTGATTTGGCATTGCTTATTGAGACTAAGTATGTTCTCTCTAGTCATTTTGAAATAAAGGATATGGGTGAGGCCTCGTATGTAATAGGCATTGAAGTTCACAGGGATAGCTCTAGAGAAAAACCTTATCTATCTCAAAGGACCTACATTAAAAAAATGTTGGAGAGGTATGGTATGGAAAACTCCAAACTAAGCCCTGCACCTATGTCTAAAAGTGATAGATTAAGTAAGTCTCAATCTCCAAGAAATGAGCTTGAAAGGGAGCACATGACAGCATATCCTTATGTATCATTAGTTAAGACTTTAATGTATGCCCAAATTTGCACCAGACCCGACATTGCATTTGTAGTTGGTGTATTGGGCAGATTCCAGAGTGACCCAGGTTTGGATCATTGGAGAGTTGCAAAGAAGGTGCTTAGATATCTGCAAGGGACACAAGATTATATGCTTATATATAGCAGATCTGATTCTCTAGAGGTTGTCAGATATATAGATTTCGATTTTGTAGGATGCCTAGATAGCAAGCAATCAACATCAAGATCTATATTGTTGCTTGCTAATGGTGTAGTCTCTTGGAGAAGTATTAAACATAAATTGACAACAGCTTCTACTATGAAGGCTAAGTTAGTTGCATGCTAGAGGCGATTACACAGGCAATTTGGTTGAGAAATTTTACCATTGGGCTTAAGGTTGTTGATTCTATTTCAAAGCCTATAAGGATGTTTTGTGATAATGCAGGAGTCATTTTCTCTATAAATAATGACAAGGTATCTAATGGTGACAAATACATGGATATTAAATAGCTTGTCATAAAGGAGAAATGTGATAAAAATAAGGTGTCAGTTAAGTACATCAGCACTGTGCTTATGGTGCCAGACTCTATGACCAAAGCTATAGTTCCAGGATTGTACAAAGATCATGTAGATCACATGAGCCNGTATGTAATAGGCATTGAAGTTCACAGGGATTGCTTTAGAGAAAAACCTTATCTATCTCAAAGGACCTACATTAAAAAAATGTTGGAGAGGTATGGTATGAAAAACTCCAAACTAAGCCCTGCACCTATGTCTAAAAGTGATAGATTAAGTAAGTCTCAATCTCCAAGAAATGAGCTTGAAAGGGAGCACATGAGAGCATATCCTTATGTATCATTAGTTAAGACTTTAATGTATGCCCAAATTTGCACCAGACCCGACATTGCATTTGTAGTTGGTGTATTGGGCAAATTCCAGAGTGACCCAGGTTTGGATCATTGGAGAGTTGCAAAGAAGGTGCTTAGATATCTGCAAGGGACACAAGATTATATGCTTATATATAGCAGATCTGATTCTCTAGAGGTTGTCAGATATATAGATTTCGATTTTGTAGGATGCCTAGATAGCAAGCAATCAACATCAAGATCTATATTTTTGCTTGCTAATGGTGCAGTCTCTTGGAGAAGTATTAAACATAAATTGACAATAGCTTCTACTATGAAGGCTAAGTTAGTTGCATGCTAGAGACGATTACACATGCAATTTGGTTGAGAAATTTTACCATTGGGCTTAAGGTTGTTGATTCTATTTCAAAGCCTATAAGGATGTTTTTGTGATAATGCAGGAGTCATTTTCTCTATAAATAATGACAAGGTATCTAATGGTGACAAATACATGGATATTAAATAGCTTGTTATAAAGGAGAAATGTGATAAAAATAAGGTGTCAGTTAAGTACATCAGCATTGTGCTTATGGTGCCAGACTCTATGACCAAAGCTATAGTTCCAGGATTGTACAAAGATCATGTAGATCACATGAGTCTAGTGGACAATGATATTGCTTGATGTACTATATGTGCACATTTGGAGACACTATTAGTTTATTGTATCATCTTATTATGTTATTCTGCCTATTATATTTTTGTGGTATAAATATGTTCTTAGCAGAAATTTTTTGATCAACAAATGGATTTTATGGGAAATCCATTTGTAAAGAAAATTAACCTAAAATCTTGTTTATGAGGGTTTGGTGATATTTTGATCATCGAAGATTGTATGCTATTTATTAGTGTATATCCGCCATGGTTCATATTACTAGACTCAAATAATCAAAAATAAAGATAAACTCACTTATGTTGGGATTATTTGATAAAGAGCGCGCATAATTCTACCGAACCCAAGTATTTGTTTAATTTTAAAATATAAGTATTATTATTAATATTGTTTTCTTTCGACTTTCTTGTCAATTCTGTCCAAGTAGGAGAATGTTGGAACCTATTTAATGGGACTCACATGTGGACCTTAATTAACAAGGTATAAACTTGAGTTTTGAGACAAGGATATCCTAATTAAAATATCTAACACATGTTAGTTAGGTTAGTGGATAGTTTTCTTGTAAAAGTGGTGTCGCAGGTACAACGAAACATGTTTAACAAATAGTTAATTTCCTGACAAGTATTTTTTTGCTGAGAAATTTCATGCAATTTCAATTTAAGTAATGCTATTGGAACATAAACTATTCACTTAATTTTTTAAATTAATGATGTGACGGGGATGTGTTGTCCAATAGTGTTGTTATGATTGTAACTCTCACACTTCTTCGTTAAGACTCTATTATTTGATACATCATTATATTAATAAATTAAATCAATTTTATATGTCAAAATAACATTACTCTTTTAAATTACTTGATAATTAGAAAAGAAAGCTAAATATGTAGAGATGTTCTCGGGTAGGAATTTTGGGGTTCCAAGATTTGAGCTGATAAGTTGTAAAAGATTATTTCTTTGGCCAACTCTACCCGATTGAGGGTAATGTTCCAAATTGAATTTCGTCCAAAAATTTGGCTCGGAAGGTCTCGTAAGAATGCATAATGCCTCACAAATTTTCAGACTTTAAGTTATTAATTTTTGAGTCATTTTAACAATTCCATTACTAAATTTTTGAATTATTTTTACAACTAAATTGTTAAAATTTAATATAAAGATATATGAATCAACACAATAAACTAATAAAACTAAATAAAACATAATAAATCTAATTCATATGTTTTATAGTAATCTAAAACAATATAAATAAAACACAATCACAAGTTGCTAAAATTTTATGAATAGTCTGCATTCTTACCCGATATTAGCTAAATACTAAAAAAACCTTTCATTAACCAGCCAAAAAATGTGGAAATCGAATTATCGGGGTAGAGTAGGACTGAAATATTAAGGAAGGGGTTGGATGGGCAAAATTTTGAACACTTCTATGAAGATGTTACAGGTGGCCGGAGCTGGCGGTGCCATGTGAACGCATTACTGGAGGCTAACAATTTATCATTAGATGATTTAACTTGATCAAAATCGACAAATTGTGAAGTTAAAGGGTTTAAATTATGGTATCAAATTATTATTTTTATTAATGAGGCAGTGTAAAATATTTTATATATTATTATTGTTAACAACGGTCAAAAATAGACCAACACAAGATCCATGACTAACATCTATTTTTATGGTACAGTACCCACTAAATTTTTTGTGGATATTTGATGTCTTTAGTTTAAATCTTGATAATTCTTTAGATCGAGTTAATATTTTCTATGACTGTTCTAATTTTGGCTTGATGTCCTGCATTTGGCTAGACCAAGAAAAAAAATTAGTAAATATGCATGTAAATTGATCCCTGACAATTAAATAAGAAAAAAAAAAGACAGAAGGCTATAGATAATACCAAAAAGCTTAGTCAAACAAAAAGATTTGGTGTTATTGAAGCCAAAAACTACAGCATCACCGAAGATTTGAGTTCAGGGAAAAAAAAGACCTAACAATGCACCCAAAAATTAGGACTTCGAAGCTTGCAAGCTCATTACTCTTATGTCCTCCATCAGCCGGTCTAAATTACAGAATGAAGACCCACCTTCACTAACACTCTTTCTTGCTAATTTTGACATCTGATTAGCCCTACCCATGAACTCATCCTTCCTCTCCTCCATGAGTTCTTTGATCATCTTCTCCACAATAACCCTATCACAAGTGTCTTTCATGTCCAACCCAAGCTTCCAAACCTCCCCCACAAACCTACTGTTCACCTGCTGGTCAACAAAGTACGGCCAGCATGCCATCGGAACTCCGGCTACTATATTCTCCAGAGTCGAGTTCCACCCACTATGAGTCAAAAACCCTCCGATCGCCGGGTTTGCCAAAACCTCTTCCTGTGGAGCCCAACCCACAATACACCCTCTTTTCCTTGTTCCTTCTAAGAGTTCAACCGGAATCTGACTTTCAGTAATGTCCCCGGCGATGGAACCATGCTGTCTGACCCACAAGAACAGCTTGCCACTGTTGACTAAACCATGCCAAAACTCCAGTAACTGGTCTTTGGTCATGACAGCAAGACTTCCAATGCTCACGAAGATCACAGATTTCAATGGTTGTGCATCGAGCCAGGCCAAGCAACTCTTGTCTTCTTCCCATAAACTGTTAGAAAACGTTGCGTGTGAAGTCCCAAGTCTAGCCCTGTGATGGGTGTGTAGGGGACCAATGGCGTAGAGGTTTGGGCAAAGACTGCGCATGTGAGACAACAATGGTCCTTCTAGCTCTTCAAATGTGTTGATAATCACACCTTGGGCTTTTTGGAGTTCTTGGTTCTCCTTCAAAATTAGTTTGATAAGAGGGTCAGTCGGGTCACAGGATCTACAGAAGCTGGAAAGATCACGACGCCGGAGAAAACCCTCCATGCCCGGTACACATGTTATCCTCGCATCCAAGTCATCTCCTATAGATCAGAAAGTGAATGCAGAGTTCATGTTTTAAAGAGGAGGAGAGAGGATGAGGGTGGGGGGGTGTTGGAAACAGAGGATATCAGAATAACCCACCAACCTTTAAATGGAAGCTCTCCAGCTTCGATGAGTTTGGGGACACACAAATGAATCCATAAGCCACAAGGACTTATTGTCTCGAAGTATATCAGTGGAATTCCAATCTGTTGAGCAACACCACCAGCAAAACTGAAGAGCCCATCTGCTATGATGCAAGTCACCGGCTGCTCGGACTTAGAACTCAGATTGCCGGAAGTTACCATCTCCGTGAAATTTGGGTATGTCACAGCTTCCATTCCATCAACCATCTCCGTGAACAGATCACCCGAACGCGGGTGGTCTTCAGACAAACCATCTCCGATGGCCTGAAATCGGAATTTCGGATAGCGAGTGAAACGGGACTGGACGTCGGTGTATCGGAGAAGACGATGCTGGACATGGTCGGTGTTGAGGAAGGTGACATGGAAATCGGCGAGGCAAAGAAGCTCGGCTAGTTTGAGCATGCAATTTACTGGGCCTTGTAGTGGTAAGGGGAAGATTAGTATATGAGGAGAGAGGGTTTTTTGAGAATCCATCAGATCAAGAAAGCTCGATTCACCAGTTGTGACTTTGTATTGTGAAAAGCTTTCCCACTTGGTTTAAATGGTTGGATGGAAGTCTTCAATGTCCTATACTATAAAATTGGCAAATGCCATTTTTCGTCCCTTTGCACCAGATTTCTTCTCGTGTAATGTGTAGACAACAGTTTAGAAGAACAGTACATCTATACATCTATAAACCCTTTGGTTTCGTTTGGTAGAACCGTAGGATTAAATATTAAATTGTATTATTTTTTATTTAATTGAATTTAATATTTTATTTGATAAATAAATTTGATATCGTATTAATTTTAAAAACGTATATTTATCGTATATTTTTTATACGATAGACCTGTATTATGAAAGTTTTTTAATACCACCAAAAGAGGTGGTGTTATATTCCAATGCAAATGTATTATTGTACACATTTATTATTATAATCCCCCAAGTGATAAATTCAAGTTGTCATCAATATAACAAATACTGATCGAAGATATTTTTGTTAATTCAACATTAATACGATGAAATAATTATCTAACTAAATAACCGATTGAATTAAATAACTAATATTCAACGCTTATATTGTGTATTTTCAAACACTAGATAAAATTACTTATTATTCTAATATTATATTTAATCTTGTTTTAATTTATCTGTATTGTATTAGACTGTATTATTTTATCTAATTTATTAAATTTTAATACAACAACCAAACGAGCTATTTGCGTACACTGTATATCTATATATTTATTTAAATAATTTTTTTTATTCTTTTTTTTAAATAAAAATTATAGAGTTATCAAAACATGTAGGTATTTATCTCACAATAATTTAATGATAATTTGATGATAATAGATTTCGTTAGTTCAGTTATTAATTAGACGTCTATGTGTAATATTTTAAACTTAAAAAGTCTAAGAATTAGATACTTACAAATTTTAAGAGATTTGAATTTAATTTATTAATCGATATGCTAGTGGACATTAACGACAAATGTTTAAATATTATATACGTATAAATTTTAGAGGGTTTGAATATAATATTTTAAATGTCAAATAATTTAAATAATTAAGAGGGCTTGCATATAATTTTTCCCTACTCTTATGCCCTCGATCCAGCGTTCCAAATTACAGAATGATGACCCCACCTTCATTAACACTTTCTCTTGCCAATTTTGACATCACATGGGCCCTCCCCTCCAACTCATCTTCCCTCTCATCTAGTATTGAATACACTTTATCACAACTATCTTTCATGTCCAATTCCATATTCTAAACCTTCCCAACAAATTTATTTTTCACTTGAGGCTTGTCTGAATAAATTTTAATAAGGGTTGATTTCTTCAAATTCTTTTAAATTTAATTTTTTTTTTTGTAAAAATAAAATTCAACATTCAATTTAATTCATACTCATGTTTGATATGTAACACATATACATGTAGGATTCATAGATATATTATAATTATTAACAACTATTTACGTTATAAATGATTATTTTACCGTTAATCAATTCAATTCAAACTCATGATAAAAGGGGTATAATTATCTTTTGAATTCTTAACCCCTTACCCATTTTTCTAAACTCACCTTCCCTTAGGTTTGATAAAATTAATGATCATAGATTTAATTTTCATGTCAGTTATGAGCCTAGTTTGAAAATCCGAGACTAAATTTTTCATACAAACAAAAAATTTAGGAGAATTTTGGACTATTTTCTCCAAACTCATCTTGTCAAACCCTCTCATATCTCCGTACCAAACAATCCCTTGTTGATCCATGAAGTACGGCCAACAGTTTGTAAGTAGAGTAATGTTACACAGTTCCTAATTGAGTCAAGCTTCGCCTTTATCACCTTGAAAGAAGAACTTATAACCATGGTTTAAAAAATCGACAGTTATTTTATGTAACAGCTGTTACGTATCAGTGACAGAGGTCAACGATATCGTTACACTATAATTTATCAGCTAGTAAAAAATATACTTGTAACGGGTATTACAGCAACGTAACAGAATGTAACGGACGTTATATCCCGTTTTGTAGCCGTAATGACCGTTGCACATCAACAACTCTTATTTTGCTACCGAAAAACAAGAAAATTAAGAAGAATATATGAAAAGACAACAATAGAGATTAAGAGGAGGTGCGTAAATCTGGTACGTGTTCAACAACATCGGCTTCTAAATACTACTGCTTGACCACTTTAGGTGGAGTTTCAATTTCACAACACTTAGCCTACTACGAGGGAGAGAGAAACGAGCTCTTCTTTGTTTAGGGCAGATGAACGGCAGAGAAAAGACTGGAAGTAAAAAATTATATTAGGACTTTTTATCATTGATAAAAAAACTAAGCTGCCCCTTGTGAAAACATGAGATTAAATCTAAATGTAATAACTAAAAGTTGACCCAAATATAAAAAATGGGTCTAGCTTCTGCTTGGCCCAATTGAATTAACAAATTTTTTGTTTTATATTTTGGTAATATTTTTCCTGGAACGTATACCATAATTAAAAAAAGATTCTTGATAAAATCTCAATTAGGTATGATTTTTAAATTCTTACATAAATATTTAAGTGGATTCCCTTCAATTAAAAGTCATTAGAAAACTCTTATCATATAATTATTAAAATATAAATTCTTATAACTTTATTTATAATACAATAAAATGTATAGCATGTCATAAAAGACTTATATTTACATAAGCTTAGAGTTAAAAATGCATAATTTTTTTTTTGAGAGAGGTGTAAACAAAAACAAAAAATTCATGCTTTCAATTTTTTGTTACTGTTACGTAACGCCCATTTCATATCGTGTCCGTTACTGTTATCGTTACATCGGCCGTTACAATTTTTCAGAACTATGCTTCTAACACAATGNCGTAACGCCCATTTCATATCGTGTCCGTTACTGTTATCGTTACATCGGCCGTTACAATTTTTCAAAACTATGCTTCTAACACAATGACCCTAGCTTCATGGTTCTAGCTAGTAGACCCATATACCCTGGACGATGTTCTAAATCTTCTCGGAAGGAAAGGGAAAAGGCATAGCAGGCATGCTGCTAAACTCACCACGAGAGTTGGCTACACCTTCATCGTCGGAAGAAATTCAAATAATTACAAGTCAAATACATATTATATTTTGGATCAATAGATTTCATCAATTTTTTAGTAGGACCCATTTATTTAACACTCCTTCAATGAATTATATGCATGTAGATTGTATTTTTTGGGTTTCATTTGGATTATATATTATTTTCTTGTATGTAATAACTTTATTTTTTTTTGAGAAATTTCATGTAATTTCAACTTGACTATTGTTATTGAAACATAATAATTTTAGGAAAATGTTATATAAGTCAAATGAAACCCAAAATTTAAAACTCAAATGTTTATTATTCCTGGGATGTGTGTGGGATAAGTGAGTCTCGCTGAAAAAATTGATGAGACTCACTCATCTAAGGGATGTTATGTATTTGAGTTATAACTTTTTAGGTTTCATTTGAATTTTGTAGTGTTGCTCAAAAATTTATCTAACTTGTTAAATTAATGATGTGACAATAATGATGTAATCTAATAATGTTGTTATGACTGCAATTTTTTAACCGTTTTAATGAGGGTTTATTATGTGACACATCATTTTGTCAATAAATTAGATTAATTTTTTATGTCCAAAATTTTTAAAAGTGATCTAATGATTGAATATGACATTTGATAATTGAGATATGTTTGGTTCAATCTCTTTGCATACCCTCTAAATATTAGTCCCTCATGCTCCAACTCAACTTAAGTCCTATCGACTAGTAATTGAATTCCACGGAGTAATCGGTTCAAGTCTCAAAATCCCATAACATAAAAAAAAAATAAAAAATAAAAGCTTAACTCTTTTGACTTACTTGATGAGAAAAGAAAGCTAAAGTGTAACTGGTGGCCGGAGCTGGCGGTGTCATGTGAACCCACAATTTAAGGTAAGACTACTACGGTTAGACTACGGTGCCCACGAGTACCAAAAAGTTAAGTCAAACAAAGGGATCAGGTGCTATTGTAGCAAAAAAATTACAGCATTACCGAAGACTTCATTTCAGAGAAGAAGAAGAAAAAAAAAGGCCAAGCAAATTAGGCCTGTGAAGCTGGCGAACTCATTACTCTAATGTCCTCAATCAGACGGTCCAAATTACAGTATGAAGACCCACCTTCGCTAACACTCTTTCTTGCTAATTTTGACATCTGATCAGCCCTACCCATGAACTCATCCTTCCTCTCCTCCAGGAGTTCTTTGATCATCTTCTCCACAATAACCCTATCACAAGTATCTTTCATGTCCAACCCAAGCTTCCAAACCTCCCCCACAAGCCTACTGTTCACCTGCTGGTCAACAAAGTACGGCCAGCATATCATCGGAACTCCGGCTACTATACTCTCCAGAGTCGAGTTCCACCCACTATGAGTCAAAAATCCTCCGATCGCCGGGTTTGCCAAAACCTCTTCCTGTGGAGCCCAACCCACAATACATCCTCTTTTCCTTGTTCCTTCTAAGAGTTCAGCCGGAATCTGACTTTCAGTACAGTCCCCGGCGATGGAACCAGGCCGTCTGACCCACAAGAACCGCTTGCCACTATTGACTAAACCATACCAAAACTCCAGTAACTGGTCTTTGGTCATCACAGCAAGACTTCCAATGCTCACAAAGATCACAGATTTTATTGGCTGTGCATCGAGCCAGGCCAAGCAACTCTTGTCTTCTTTCCATAAGCTGTTCGAAAACGTAGCCTTTGAAGACCCAAGTCTAACCTTGTGATGGGTGTGTAGAGGACCAATGGCGTAGAGGTTTGGACATAGACTGCGCATGTGAGACAACAATGTTCCTTCTAGCTCTTCAAATGTGTGGATAATCACACCTTGGGCTTTCGGGAGTTCTTGGTCCTCCTTCAAAACTAGTTTGATAATAGGGTCAGTCACATNCGGTGTCATGTGAACCCACAATTTAAGGTAAGACTACTACGGTTAGACTACGGTGCCCACGAGTACCAAAAAGTTAAGTCAAACAAAGGGATCAGGTGCTATTGTAGCAAAAAAATTACAGCATTACCGAAGACTTCATTTCAGAGAAGAAGAAGAAAAAAAAAGGCCAAGCAAATTAGGCCTGTGAAGCTGGCGAACTCATTACTCTAATGTCCTCAATCAGACGGTCCAAATTACAGTATGAAGACCCACCTTCGCTAACACTCTTTCTTGCTAATTTTGACATCTGATCAGCCCTACCCATGAACTCATCCTTCCTCTCCTCCAGGAGTTCTTTGATCATCTTCTCCACAATAACCCTATCACAAGTATCTTTCATGTCCAACCCAAGCTTCCAAACCTCCCCCACAAACCTACTGTTCACCTGCTGGTCAACAAAGTACGGCCAGCATATCATCGGAACTCCGGCTACTATACTCTCCAGAGTCGAGTTCCACCCACTATGAGTCAAAAATCCTCCGATCGCCGGGTTTGCCAAAACCTCTTCCTGTGGAGCCCAACCCACAATACATCCTCTTTTCCTTGTTCCTTCTAAGAGTTCAGCCGGAATCTGACTTTCAGTACAGTCCCCGGCGATGGAACCAGGCCGTCTGACCCACAAGAACCGCTTGCCACTATTGACTAAACCATACCAAAACTCCAGTAACTGGTCTTTGGTCATCACAGCAAGACTTCCAATGCTCACAAAGATCACAGATTTTATTGGCTGTGCATCGAGCCAGGCCAAGCAACTCTTGTCTTCTTTCCATAAGCTGTTCGAAAACGTAGCCTTTGAAGACCCAAGTCTAACCTTGTGATGGGTGTGTAGAGGACCAATGGCGTAGAGGTTTGGACATAGACTGCGCATGTGAGACAACAATGTTCCTTCTAGCTCTTCAAATGTGTGGATAATCACACCTTGGGCTTTCGGGAGTTCTTGGTCCTCCTTCAAAACTAGTTTGATAATAGGGTCAGTCACATCACTGGATCTACAGAAGCTGGGAAGATCACGACGCCGGAGAAAACCCTCCATGCCCGGTACACATGTTATCTTGGCATCCAAGTTATCTCCTGTAGATCAGAAAGCGAATGCAGAGTTCAGGCTCTAATGGGTCACTGACAATGTCAAATAATACCGTTTTTATAAAGAAATCAAATACATAAATGGGGATCAGATCAATATTTAACTGTTAGAGACACAAGTATCTTAGTCTCCTTTTTTATTTCACCGGGGAGGGGGAGGGGGAGGGGGGCGATCAAAATAACACACCAACCTTTAAATGCAAACTCTCCAGCTTCGATGAGTTTGGGGAGACATAACTGAATCCATATGGCACAAGGACTTAATGTATCGAAGTATATCAGTGGAATTCCAATCTGTTGAGCAACACCACCAGCAAAACTGAAGAACCCATCTGCTATGATGCAAGTCGCCGGCTGCTCCGACTTAGAACTCAGATCGCCGGAAGTTACCATCTCCGTGAAAAGTGGGTATGTCACAGCTTCCATTCCATCAACCAGCTCCATGAACTGATCACCGGAACGCGGGTGGTCTTCAGATAAGCCATCTCCGATGGCTCGAAATCGGAATTTCGGATAGCGAATGAAACGAGACTGGACGTTTGTGTGTCGGAGAAGACGGTGCTGGACATGGTCGGTGTTGAGGAAGGTGACATGGAAATCGGCAAGGCAGAGAAGCTCGGCTAGTTTGAGCATGCCATTAACGGGGCCTTGTAGTGGTAACGGGAAGATTAGGACATGAGGAGAGAGGGTTTTTTGAGAATCCATCAGATCAAGAAAGTTTGATTAATCTGCCGTGACTCTGTATTGTGAAAAGCTTGCCCACTTGTTTTAAATTTAAAGGGGTTGGTTTTGCATGGAAGTTTTCAATTTTACATTTTTTAATGAGGACGATTAGGGTATAGAACAAGGCAAAAGATCAAAAGTCGCAATCGAAAGTTATAACGCATTAAAGTTTTAATTTTAAAAAAAAATCAGTTGATGCACATGTGTAGATTATTTTGAATTATAATTATAATTTTTAAACTTTAAATTTAAATTAAATTTATGATGAAAAATATTTTTTGACACAAATGTGTAACGTATTGATCTTTTAAGAGCAATGTTATAGAGACTTTATTTGGGGTCTTAATGATGTGGTTTCAATGTAATCATTGAATTAGTTGTGAGTTCCAACGTTAGATGAAGTCTACAACTAATCATGCATTGCATGCATATTAATGGGAGAAGCCTCGGCGTCGAGGGAGGCGTGTGAGACACAATCATGTATTGCATGCATATTAATATAATTTTGTGAGTTAAATTATAATTAGATAAAATTATTAATGAAGTTAATTAAATTAAATCTTTTATAAGCATAATGTGAGTGAGGATACATTGGGTATGTGGACCCCATTAATGATGTATTAGTGAGATCTGTTTATAGAAATTTCATGTGTGAAAATATTAGTGAAGTCGATTTAAAAATTATTTAAAAGCTTGAGAAGAGATAAGCATAATTAACCCATTACATGGGTCACCTTTACCGGTGTTGGCTTTTAAAAAAAAAAAAAAAAGAGAGGGAGAAAAAGAACGGTTTACAAGCCACGTGTGGGTGTGGGTGTGGGTGTGTGTGTAAAGTAAGTAGAAAGGTGTGTGTGTGTGTCTTTAGTGGATATAATTTAGTGTGTGTGTCTGGTTCCTTGTTGAACCGAGAGTGCGCAAGACGAGGGAAAAAAAAAACGTGTGTGTGAGTTCTTGAACCGTCACCAAGGAGGAAGAGAGGGAGTGGGAGACAGAAAAACTAAGGTTGCGTTTAGTAAAGTTTTTGATTTTTAATTTTTTTGAAAAATTAAAAACTAAAATAGTTTTTGATTTTCAGTTTAGAAAAAATGAAAACTGAAAATCTGTTTGACTTATATTTTATGTTATAAAAAAAATGAAAACAGAAACAACANTTAGTAAAGTTTTTGATTTTTAATTTTTTTGAAAAATTAAAAACTAAAATAGTTTTCGATTTTCAGTTTAGAAAAAATGAAAACTGAAAATCTGTTTGACTTATATTTTATGTTATAAAAAAAATGAAAACAGAAACAACAAACTTGTTTGATAAATATTTCTAAATTATTGTGTGAACAATTTATTTACACCACACACTTTCATGCTAGTTTAATTGTAAAAATAACAGAATATAAAAATAACATATTAAGGTATAACATAATTCATAAATATCTATACTACAAATATATCCCATAATTTACAAACATCCAATATAACAATCCATGTACACCAAAAATCATATGTTTCAATGTCCAACACTTGCCCACAACTCATTGGCAATGCAATCTCGCACACGAGTCATTTGTCAAATCTGAGTTTGACTGATATCTACTTCAATCAGGTTCTGTGAAGTCGATCCTGCATTATCATCCTCCATTTCTTCATTACTGAACTCATCAAATAATTGATCTTAAGCAGCGTGCATTCTAATGAAATTGTGAACTGTACAATAAGTCGTTGGAATGTATTTTTGTGTTCTTATAGGGTAAGGGGGCATTTGTTTGAGAATGAAAAACTGAGCCTTTAGCACTCCAAAGCAACGCTCAATGACATTCCGAAGTGATGAGTGACGATAATTAAATAGCTCTATCTTACTCATTGGACGTTGACCACTACTTCTATAGTCACGTAAATGATATCTCTCATCACAATACGGTGACAAAAACCCAGGCATGTTCGTATATCCAACATCAACAACATAATACTTATCTAGCAAATGGTACACATGTATAGTAAGTGATAAGTTATAAATTCTACGAATGGATAGAAAGGTTACAATGAAGAATATTACCTCCTTCAGACATTGAGAAATTGTTTTCTGGATTGTTAATGGACTCGATAAATACTCTCGAGTCATTAGCAGTTCCTTCCTAACCACTTATAATGAATGTGAATCGCATGTCAAACGAACATGCACATATGACATTTTGTGTTGGTTCAACTTTCTTACCACAGTATGAGATTTGCTTACTCACTGGTACATGTGCGTCAACATGAGTTCCATCTATAACACCGATACAATTCTAAAACATAATAGAATATTAATATACATAATGATGTGTATAACAAATAATAAAAAATAGAAGATACATTACCTTGAAGAATGGATAGTAATTAGGATTGTGTTAAATCTGAGGTGGAACAATATGAAAATCAGGAGGTCTGATAATGTGCACTCCAAGTCGACATACTGCTTTCAAGACTCGATGAAAGTATGTAGAAATAGTGTGACCTGAATGTTGAAATCTCTCTGCTACCAAACGGACTCTCTCATTGTGAGATATAATCAGTAAAAAAATAACTACTTGTTCTTGAATTGTCACATACCTAGAGTTTGTCAAATTCCCCTTACTTTTTAGTTCTTCACAAAACAAAATAAACACATGGGGGTCCATCCAAAACTGATCATAGCACCTGTCCTCATGTCCATGCAATATTTCTAGAACATAATCATGACCTTTAAGTATAGATGTTCTACATGATTTTTTATCAAAAAATCTATCAAGTTCCTTTACAAGTAATAATATTAAACACATAACTATCTCATACTCCTCCTCGTCCTCCTCGATCAATTGAATGACATCATTCGAGTTCATCATATCCATAAAGTACCTAATACAATAACAACAAATAATGATTAAACCAAACCAACGATATACTATTCTACAAAACATTGAAGTCATCACAAAACAAAAAAAAACACATTGCCCAACAACCAAAGTTAAAAGTAGTCTGTTAAAGGTACAAAACATGGTTTACAATCATAACAAAAAATGGTTTAAAGTCATCACAAAAAATACATCCATGACCTAACACATCACAGATTCATTACTACACCCTTCTTCTGATGATCAGGCAACTCCAAGAACACTTTCCGCCACACTGCATCATCACGCATTAATTTTAAGGCTTTTGTATAAGTCGCATCATCAATGTCCTCAAGAGAGTTCAAAGCGTCAATGCAGTCTTTCAACAAGTCTGGATGTGGGTCAATCGTAGTCATCGAATCAACCATAGAGTCTGCACAAGTCGATGACGAACCAACACTTGCCATTCTTTTCTCATAGAACTCCCACCTTACCTTTGCAGATTTAGCTGACATGTTTAGTGCATTATTAAGGGCATAAGTACAAGAATCTTTCTTTGTACGCCGACTACGATTAGGAGTGATAGAGCGGTTTCGATTACAATTGGTAACAGTTGGATTATCATCCACATTGTTATCGACATTTCCATATTCCTCATCATCTTTTGGGTCATAATTGAGATCATGTTCATCATCAGAGGGAGTCTTGGTTGAAGGGTAAGCATGTTTACCAGTTGTCGTTGTGTCACCATAGATTCTACACAATGCTTTATAATGTGGACAATCTTTTTTCTTGAATTTTCTGGTATTCTTATTGACCTAACAACATAGGATTATTAAAAAACACATTCTAGTAAGGACCATTTAATGAAAATCATATCACATTTCAACACAATAAAAATTTATACCTTGAACAAATTTTTTCACACATCGTCTGACAGAGTCACTGTCCCTTTCTCTGGATCCCAACCAACTCTCATAGTGTCATTAACTAGTTTGTGGAAATCACTCCATACTCGCCTCAACTGATTAAACTTATTCTTAAGTTGCTCATGGTTATTTGAATACCCAATTCGACTTTTCAGTTCCTCAAGAATGTAGTTCCACGTTTCTCTTTTGAATGTAGTAGTACCTCTATTTCCTTTTGCAACTTGCTCATCCATTAAATCTATAAAAATTGCCTCACTCTTAGCAAGCCAGGGGTATCAGATTTGGTGGATTGAACCTCAACCACATCGTCACTACCTACGTTGCTTACATTGGTATTTGTCATCTACAACCACACATTCCAGTAATATCATATGTATGAAAAAAATTGATGAAATCAAATAATTTTCGTTTTGGGACAATAAATTCAATGGCAAATTCAAAGACAACAAATTCTAACCCATGTATCTAATCCATAATATAATGTAAAAAAAAAATGTAAAGCAATAGAATGGCTCACATTATGTAAAGCAATAGAATGGCTCACAGCCTCACATAAAAATCAGATTTAATAATTTTTTTAAACTTATGGACATCTTTATTTACACTTTGGTATAGTTAATGAGTTCCATATTTGCAATGAATATAAACTACATATCAATATTAATACACATTGCACCACGGGTTATTCCTAGTGTATATACATAGAATGACATGATCTAAAGTTATCCACTAACATGACCATATGGTGGTACGACAAAAATCTCTTTTTTATACTATTACCGGCTATGAATACTCCAACTATATGTTAAATTTGTCAATTCATGCTTTCGAAAAATGTGACAATCAATTAGATTAAGATCGAATTTATGAGAGAAAAATGATCGCAATATAAGGCTGACCATTTTGATTATAGTAACTTTTTAATCATTCACGAAAAATAATTTGATAAATTTAGGAATATATTATATGTACAAAACCAATACGTGCACCATTTTTATGGAAACTTTCTTTCTTTCTTTCTTTTTTTTTTTTTTTTAAGGATATATGTTGCTAGGTAACATTGACTAACCAACTAAAAGAGTATCACCACACCAGTGGTTTTATAGTTTTATAATTTATCTCAACATTAACTGGTTTTACTTCATGCTTCAACAATAGCAACATAATGGGGAAAACTCCAAATTTCCTCCTAACAACATCTAATCATGTTGTAGACTGTGTAGAAGAAGAACATGATGAAGAAGAAGAATAAGGGAATTTCAACCTTAGTGTAAATGTCTAACTATATATAGGAGATAATTTCATTTGTCTCTGTATTTTGAAATAAACAATGGGTTATAAGAGGCATAGGATTTTTTGCGGTCTAATATTGTAGAAAAGTTGTATGTTGTCAACCATATTGCCCAATAAGTGTATACATATCTATGTATGTATGTATGTATGTATTAGAGCATGTTTGGTAGGCATAAAGATGTTATTCTTTTCGTTGTACAGGCCCACAACAAAGAAGATATATCACACAAAAAATTACTACAAGCCCACAACAAAGAAGTCATTCCTTAACAAAGCAAGAGAAATTTATAGTGAACCACGCCCAACAATTTCCACATTCAACACACCATTTAGCAACAAACTACAAGAGGCGATGGAGTCACAGGGAAATCCAGCAAGCCACACGAAAAAGAATCAACAACAAAGCAAATAATTTACCAAATCAACCAAGAAAAAAAAATCCCAGCAAATAGAAACATTCAATTCATTGACACAAATTAGTACAAGGGGCTTCAACAACTTCAATCAAGCACCATAAATAAATCGCATTTCTTAGGGGAGATTAGAGGTAGAAAACTATAGATCTACAGATCTAATAAATGAATATAGCACAAAGAAACAACTTACATCTAAGGAATCTAGCTACTGAAAACCCTAGATCTAAGGACTTACCTTGGTAAGAGAGACGAAGCTGCTGTGAACGACCTAGGTGAAGATGAGAGAGACAAAGCTGTTGAACGCCGAAGCTTTTGGATTGCCTGGAACGAGGCTGCTAGAACACCTCTGCTGGAACGCCGGGAACTCCTCTGTTGAACGAATGGAATGAGAGACACGATGAGATGAGAGAGAATTTGAGGGTTTAAATATTTTTGTTTGAGGGATTTTTGGTAGGGGGCTTAATTTGTTGCTAATAAGAGTCGATGGTAGGATCTCATTAAATGTCATCCGCGTGTTCCCGGTTTTTTTTTTTTTTGAAAATGACTTTTTTTTGTTTCCAAAATTTGAGGCAAATTTGAAAACGGTTTTAGTTAAAAAAAAAAAAATAAAACGGTTACCAAACGAGTTTAAATTTCAAGTTTTGTAAAAAATTGAAAATAAAAACAGAAAAATTGGAAACCAAACCGTTACCAAACGGACCCTAAGTGTTTTGGTATATTTCTAGTTCCTACCGAGAGAGAGAAGAAGGTATATGAGATTAATTTTCAGCATGTTTATGTGATTAATTTTTGTATGTACGTATTTGTATATGTGTGGACTATTTTAGCATATTTTAATTAGTAGGCTATTTTAATTTAAATATATGAGTTGCCTTATTTTATTTTAATGGACTGTTTTAATTTAAAGTTCATGGGCTGATTTAGTTAATGTCAAAACCGATTTTGTATGGGTGCAATTAAATATATTTAGCATAATTAACGGACTGTTAAAAATGGGTACTGAACAGAGTGTACGAAAAGTATGGAAATGACCATTTGAGATATTCGGGAAGTATTTAGTGTGCTAAGTTGAAAACAAAAATTTTGGGAATAAAATGGGTGGTTTAAAAGCTCAATTAGGGGTTGTTTTGCATTGATTAAATATGTAGGAGAATTTAAGTGTGACTGTTTTAAATAAAAAGTGCGATAGAAGTGGGAAACGGGTGCCGGTAACGCCGAAACTTGAATTTCTAAATGTTATTATCGCATGAGTGAATTTTAATCCAAATGACCTGAAATTTTGCATGCAGTATTTTTAAATGATGCTTGATGTAATAATGTGACTTTTGAATGCAAATGAGTATAATATTCGGTGCGCAATATATGAAATGTCGGAAGTATAATTTTTAGGATTCGGGGTAGAAATGTGTGAAAATGGGCCCCCGGTCAATGTGTTTGAGCTAATTAATCCTAATTGTGATTAATGTGAGTGATTTTGAGAATTTAGGGGAGAAAATGTGATCCCTAGAACAAAAGTGTTAATGTGTGAGTAGATAATGCGGTAACCGGAGTTATCGGGACACTTTAAGGTGCATCATTTGCATGCATTAGTGCATGATTAACTATTAAATGTAATAAATATATTGATATTGTAAATGTAATTGTGTTAGGTGAAACGGGTGAGACAATCGGTGTTAGAACAGATACGGAAACACCGAAAGAATCCACTAATATGACCGAAGGGTCATAGATTTGTACATCTGAGGTGGATGTATATCTTTATATGTTTTAAAATACTATTATAAGATGATAGTAAATGATAGAATTTAATAGCAATTCTCCAAGATTATGTGCTACGTGCTTATGTGATTGGATGATATTTTGTACTGTGTATTGTGTATTGTGGAATGTGGCGCACTGTTTGAGACAGGGGCGTCGATGCCTGGTCATTGGGCGTGCAATGATGTGCTAGCACTGTGGTGTTCTCGGGAGGTTCGGGAGACATAGATTCATGTGGGATCGATTACCCGATGAGGGGTAGTATGGATGTGATATGACTTGTGAATTCTTTGAAATTGAATTGATGTTGTTGTTTGATATGTGTATCTAAGTAGTATCTACCTACTTCAGTGTATTACTATCATTTCCATTTCATATACAACATGTATACTCATTGAGCGCGTGGTTTAGCTCACACCCCTACAACTTCTTCTTTTCAGGTACTATAAAGGAGAATACAGACTGATCCACTTCTAGTTGATTGAGTCTTGTGTAATAATAGTGTGATATCACTCAAGTTGAGTGTCACTAGGTTGTGTATTATATTTATAAGAGATATTTATGGCAGGTTAATAGTATATATTTGTAAATAGACTCAACAAGTATACTTTGTGATGTATGCTATGTGGGTGTGGGATTTTGTATATGTCTATAACCTGAAAAAAAAATAATTGGTACATGTGTTTATAAATGGTACAAGTTATAAGACAGGTTTTACCATCATGCTTAATAACTAAGGTGATGAGTGGTGTTGTTGCACCTGTGGGATTATATAATATTTGATTAGTCTAGCTTATAATAATTGTAAACAGGTGTATTAAAAACTTAATCGCATCTCATCATTGGGAGATCGGGATGGGGCGTGACAATTTAGTTGGTATTAGAGCTAGAGTTTATAATTCAATAGTCTAGTTGAGTCTAGCGTGACAGTGGACTTAGGAATTGGTTTGTTAGGTGGGGTGTTAGAGGTTTGTGTGAGTGTGTGGAATATATGTTGCATGCTATCATGACCCATATGCAATACTCACAGTTATTATAGTGATACACGGAGGGAGAAGGGTCATCTACTCGAGCTGGACATAGGGGAAAAAGATCCTAGGTGGAGGAGAAATTTGGTGATTGGGAAGCTAGGTAACTGTGAGAAGCAACAGTTAAGTACTTTGAGCAACAAACTACGCGAATGGAAACAATAAAGCCTAGGGGTACATTGTACGAACAGTTTAAAAAGCTTGATCCACTAATATTTACGGGAACTGCAGGTCTATTGGAGGCAGAAAATTGGTTACGACACATCGAGAAAATATTCAAGGTGATGGGAATTGGTGAAGAGGATAAATTGTTATTAGCCACTTTTATGTTAGCAGAGGAGGCCCAATATTTGTGGGAGGCTATGGAGAAAGCATTGCTGCCAGTGTGCACTAAAGGGGAGGCCAGTTTAGCTCTTAGAATTCCACATGGCGGCAGTTTACAGATGCTTTTGATAAGAAGTATTTTTCCTCGAGCTATCGATATCAGAAACAAAATAAATTTTTACATCTGCAGCAGGAGAATTAGTCAGTGCTGGAGTACGATAGTAAATTTTGTACTTTGTCTAAATTTATGTCTTCTGTTGTCGTATATGAGGGGAAAAGATGCAAAAGATTCCATATGGGACTAAATTACAATATTAGATCCCGTGTTTCAATGCTGGAATTAACAACATTTTCAGACTTGTACAACAAAGCCCTAATTATGGAAACTGATCTGAAAGAGATGGAAAATGCAAGTGAACAAGTAAAAAGGGGAAGATATGAGCCAAGTGGACAAGGTTCCAAGGGAAGTTTCTTTAGCAGAGCTTGGAGAGGAATATTTCCGAAGGAATATTTCCGAAGGGTGCAAGTAAGAAGAAATTAGGAAATCCATTTCAAAGTCAAGGAATGGGAGTGAGTGGCTCATCTTCATTTGCACCGGGTCGAGAGATTGGACAGTCTCGGGGGAGTACAGTTACTTGTTACCATTGCAGGCAGGTTGGGCACATTGTACGAAACTATCCTATGGGAGGACCAGAAGTTGCTATGTCACGGCGTTGCTTTTTATGCGGTTAGGAGGGACACATGCAGAGAGATTGTCCCCAATATTCTACCCAGAGTTCATCGATGGGTAGTGCATCTACAGTGTTCTGAGGAGCAGTGAGTGACAGAGGTCGAGAACAAGGAGGTGGAACTGGAGGTAGCGGTGCTGGTGGCAGTGGACTTGAGGCTAGAGGTCATGTCTTTGTACTTACCCAACAGGATGCTCGGGGCGACCCCAGATGTGGTAACAGGTATGATGTCTATTTTTGGTCAGTAGACACGAGTACTAATAGATTCAGGTGTCACACGTTCATTTATATCACTGTCATTTTCTATGCATGTTAATAAACCATCTACTCCATTAGACTGTGGATTGACTATAGCTACTCTTACGGGTGATTGTGTGACGACTAAGGTAGTATATAGAGAATGCCTAGTTCAGGTGGGTAATAGAGAATTACTTGCAGATCCGTTACCTCTTGACTTCCAGGATTTTGATGTAATTTTAGGAATGGATTGGTTGTTTGCATATCATGCTTCTATTGATTGTTTTCGTAAAGAAGTAGTATTTAGAATTCCACATGTTCCTTTGTTTCGGTTCTTTGGAGAGCGACGTCCTGAGCCGAGGAATTTGATATCAGCAATTAAAGCCAAAAAATTACTCAAGAAAGGATGTCATGAGTACTTGGCCTATGTGAAAGATACTCAGAAAGGTACTTCTGAATTGAAGCATATTCCCGTGGTTAGTGAATTTTCTGATGTGTTTCTTGAAGAGTTACTAGTGGAACAGAAGGTGGAATTTACCATTGAGCTTGTGCCAGGAACTAGTCTCATATCTATTACTTCATACAGGATGACTCTAGCTGAATTGAAGGAACTTAAACTCTAGTTGTAGGATTTGTTAGATCAAGAATTTATACGGTCTAGTGTATCTCCTTGAAGTGCACCAGTATTATTTGTAAAGAAGAAGGATGACACTATGAGGTTATGTATTGATTATAGACAGCAGAATAGAGTGACTATCCAGAACAAGTATCCCTTGCCACGTATTGATGATTTGCTGAACCAGTTATAAGGTGCCCGAGTGTTTTCAAAGATTGATCTTCGGATAGGATATCATCAGTTGAAAGTAAGGGATAGTGATATATCGAAGATTGATTTTCGGACCAGGTATGGACACTATAAGT